ACTATGGACTTTCTGGTATCTATCTGCCTTCCCACCACCACAGTTCCCTCTCCTGGCCCCATGCAGGAGTTTCCCTCAGATGGAGGGAGAGGTCTCTGTGCTCCTGTCACGGACGTGCACGAATGTTTACGGGTTTGCTTCCTTCCACGTGTCCAGCAGTGTTTCTCAAGGAGTGACACTGTGGGGGGTACCTGGCTGTTCCTGTGGGAGAGGGCTGCCCCTCTCCTGCTGCTTTGCTTTCTTCTCTGTGGGAGAAGGGCCATTCTCAACCCAACCTACATCCTGTCCTTACTGCACATCATGAGCCTACATTTGGGACATCCCCATCTGTAGCCACAGAGCAGGTTACACAGAAGTACCCACATGCACTCTGATGTGGCCACTGTGGGTAACTTGTGTACCAACTCTTCTCTGGATGTGGTTTAGTAATAGCAGTGTGGGAGATGGATAAAGGTCTGACAAGAATAAATCCACGCTGGCTAGGGAAGAAGTCCCTAACTTGCTGGCATAAGGAGCCCAGCAGGACATTACATAAAAATGTGTCTTCTTCCACACACAGCAGTGACAAGGTGGCAGCAGTAGCAAGGACACTAAGTGACTGTGTTAAGCACTTTTGTGGCTGGGCTAAAGTCTTGAGTGTCTGGTGTGTTGCTTCATTTAATGGAGCATCAGCTGCACTGTATGTTTGGTTGCTTAGTCCTTCCTTTACAATGGTCTTCTCCTTTTAGGTTGGTTGCTTAGTCCTTCCTTTACAATGACCTTCTCCTTTTAGTGTCTTTTAGATCTGACAAGTCAGCAAGAATTTGTACCCTTTTCTCCCCCATCTGACCACACGTTCAGAGAATGTGTTGTTTGAGTCTTTTTCCTCTGGGAACACTCCATTAGTTAAACGGGTTGGTTGTGGGCTTGAATTCTGCTGAGTTTGGTTGGACTTGTGTGGTCAGAGCTGGGGCAGGCCCTGTGGAAGTGGCAGGGAGCTCAGATGGCAGCATTCTTACAGACCTGAGTGACAGGCTGCTCTTGTAGGTGTGAATTAGCAAATGGAAGGGGTTTCCCCCCATCTTCAAGTATATTACACTAATCCTAAACTGCAGGGTCTAATTACCCCGAGCCACATGACGCAACCTCTCTTTAGTGGGTATCTTGTAGCTGGCAGAGGGAAGGCAGTAGCTCTATACTTACAAAAGGGCATATAGAATTACTTTCACTTGTGTTGCTTATCCCCTTCCCAAAAGTGCCTCAATATCTGTCCTCGAGTGGCCTGTACCTTAACTAAATATCTACCTTAGACCCATTCTGTCTTCACCTTATCCTTAGCACACCCTGAAGCTGAGATGCTAAAACAGCAGAGAACTGGATCTGCAAAAAAAAAAAGTGGTAAATACTTAAGGAACTGCAGTGGGCACCATGCTCGGTATGGAGCTAGCAAGGAAAAGGCTTTCAAGGTAAGGTGAAACTTAAATTTCAGCTGTGCTTAATCCTAAGCACTGTGGCTGGAGCTGGGCGAGGGCTTTCCTCAGCAGGGAACAACAGGCTGGAAGAAAAGACTGAAACCCAGAACCCCTCTGATGCTGAAAAGCCCAAAGGTTAGATGCAGAGCCACGTCCCTGCCTCTTGCAGTTGTGCACTGGGTGGAACCTGGTGGACTCCTGCCACCAGAGTCCCTTGAACTTGAGAATATTCACACTGTGGGTGGCACAGCAGTGCCAGGCTGCTCAGCTGGGCAAAACAGGAGTATTGCTGGGCACACAAGAGAAGCAGCTTGGAAACAAGGTTTGGTTCTCACGGGGCTGGGTGGATGCTGAGTTGGGGTTCTTAGGGTGGTAATTTGGCTGCTGAAAATAACACTCCTAAAATACTAGGTCTGGCCCAATAGAACAAGCTAGAGCCAAGAAAGCAGCACTTCTGCAGCCTTCTGTCCAGCCAGGTGTGAATCTTCAAGCAGCTGCTGGTCCAGGTACTCACCAGTCTGAACAGAACTCCAAGCACAGAGGCAGTGGCAGTGTGGTCTTTCTTCAGTAATGCACCTGCTTTTAGACACCAGCTTAAATTCTGGCTGGAGGTGATGTGCCTGTTGTGGTGGTGTTTGTAGTTGGTGGTTTCCTAACTTGCCTTCTGGAGGGCAAGTTGGTACTCCAGGAATCTATCCCTGCTGTTTGTGAGGGCTTGATTTTTCATCCTGGCTGGAGCTGTGCTCAGACATCTGCAGCTCAAGGGCCAGGTGAAAGCTGTAGTGCTGAGTGCTCTTACACAGGGCAAGTTCTGCTGCCAGAATCCTGTTTCCTTCCTTTTCCCATAGCACTGATCCCAGCTAGGCTAACACCTTGGACTGGATTTTTAATCGGTGCCTTCTAATGGTCACAAATGAAAAAATGTAATTAGTGCTAAACAAGGAAGGTTCTGAAGTTTGGTCCTTTTTCGTTTTAATGACTCTAGTAGATAAAATAATCTGAGGTTATAAAGCTTCCCTCCATGTCATTCCAGCTGCAGCAGGACTAGCAAAGCCCTAGTAAGGTCACTCTTGCTCCTCTGGCAAGAAATAGCTAGACATGCTCCTGGCACCAGCGTCACTCACTGAGCCAGAGCAAGCTGACGGTCCCGTTTAACTGCCAGATTCTTTTGCTGTGAAATGGGAGGGTTGGGGTGTAGAGGTGAACCAGCCCAGCTGTGGTAGAGCCCAGTGCTGCAGTAGAATGTTTTATTCCAGGCTCTGTGGCTGCTCATGTTGGAGCACAACAGGAGAAAGTGTTTGTCATGCCAAGGCACAATACCTTGTGTACCTAGTGAAGGCAGAAGCTGTGTGTGACTAATTTGGCTAATATCAGCACTGGGAAGGTTACAGGAACAGTCAGCACTGCTGTGACTCCATGCACATACCTGTGCTTCAGAGAGCAAGCTCTGTATTGCCATAACAGAAAAAGGGGTGGGGGGTGTTTATAAAATTTAACCCACCACTACTTGACTCTGGTAGACCAACCTCTGGGGCTCTAGGCACTGGTACTCAGTTTGTGTCTACTGGAGGGAACTCTCCTGCCCAGCTGGGAATGACAGCAGCTGGGAAGGGTCAGCTGCAGCACAACACATCGCTCAGATCCATCTCCTTAAGTTACATTTATCACTTTTTTCCTACTTAGAGCTGACCCTCTCTCAGTCTCTTGTGTAGGCTGACTTGCTTCCTCCAAGCCAGAGGTCTATGGTTCTGCTGTAGAAGTGGGGGAGCTACAGTTAGCTTCCAGTGGAAGCTGCTTTTGATCTCCCTGCAGCATCTGCAGGGGAGGGAGGGAACACTAGGGATGTGGACAGAACAAGCTGCAGAGGATGCATCTTACTGCTATACCATTAGGGGGGTCTGTCCCCATTTTTAACTTGCAGTATAAGCTTTTATTCAAGTGTAAACCTAAAACCCCACTCAGACCAAAAGAATGCCACTTGATTTGTTAAGTAGCAAAGATTAATGGGACTGACTGAAGCTGCATGTTAGGGGATATCTTCTACTAGGCTTCTGCTGGGTGTAAGCAAATAGTGAGAGACTTGCAGGGAGTTCAGATGCTGTTCTCAAGAGTCCTGCCTGGGGGAAGAGACCCTGACTGGTCCTCGAGTCACCCATTATCCCAGGAACTGGTCATACTGTTCCTTCTAATATGCAAGTGCAGCCCTCTTGGGGAAAACTGTCTAAAGCTTCTTGTGCCATTTGGTTAATAAAAGTGTTTCCACCTTTAAAAGAAAGTTCTTTCCAGCTTCATTGTTCTCTATTCAGTTGAAGTGAAAGGGGTATGTACGTTTTTTCCCTCTGCTAACGGGACACTGCTGTAAGACCATGCCCCCAGGTTGCACTTTAATAAATGGTACAGTTTTCAAAACCAACGTGTAGACTGCTTCTGTGCTTTCATCCCTGTTTTAGTGCAGGCACTAAAAGTAAAGTTTACACAAGTAAAACCACCTTTGCTTATGCAAAGCACAAGGCCAGGACCAGAGTATCTCTATCGCTGCCAGCTGCATCGTAAGCCATATTAAGTTAGAGCAATGCCATGAGTACATGCACAAAAAATTGACAACATTAAAAAAATCCTTGTGGAAATGGAAACTCTGAAGAGCTGAAGTGCCACGGGAAGAGACATTTTTTTTATTTAAGTTAAAAAAACCCCCACGAAATATTTACATATTTTCAAAACTCCTACTGCAGCTGGATCACAGGTGGCACATTTGCCACCTTCTGTGATTACAGGTATGTATCAAACAACCTGAATTCAAGTTTGTTGAACCTGAGATGTGACAATCCATGCCAGATATCCATCCTGATCTATGTCTGATACCTTCTCTTTGTAGCCAGATGTTCTCTAGCTGAACGCTTTTTCTCAAGCATATCCAGGTTGCATTACCCAAACCCCTGCCCTGTGCCTACCCCTGCCCTTTTCGTTGTAGTTTCCCAGTCAGTTTTATTTTCCAAGCCCACACAGGTGCATGGTGATTGATACTCAAGTCTCTTTGCTTCAGCCTTCCCTGGCCAAACACCCCAACCTCCATCAGGGCTGACACCCACCCACCCCCTTGGTGACCTGTGCTGATTAACCATTCCACAACCTGAGGCCTTCCTGGGAACAGCACTCAGCACAGCTCAGCTGCAGGAGCAGGGCTGGGAAGAGAATAACTAAAGCAAAATTCTATAGCTGATTAGAAAAACCACTGAGGGCAGGCCCTGTGCCCACAGCACTCCTCTGGAGGCGGCAGGGGCTGCACAAAGTCTGCTACTGCTAAGAAAAAAAACCCTGAAAACAAATATTGTAAAATGAGAGAGGGCAAGCACTAATCCCTACAGGTGCTGGCAGAGCTGGCAGGCAGCTCACACTACCATTACTGCTACTCTACAAAAGCCTAATCTATGAAGCTCTGCCATCCCTTTCACAGCTGTATCTCAGAAGTTAAAAGCAAATAAGGTGATTTCTGATACATCAAGAGAATTCTTCAGGAATCCACGTTCTCCACGCAGAGGGCCCGAGAGCTCACTCACCCAGCTGGAGGGAGAGAAACAGAACGGGTGAGAGCAGGAGAGCCAACCCGAGGCGGGACAGCCACATCCCTCTGCCATGCCCTGGGACACTGGGCCCGACCCGCGGCACCCAGCACAGGGACACTGCCACAGTGATGCCGTGCCCAGGGACACTGGGCAGTGATGCTGTGCCCTGCTGCCCAGCAGGGAACAGAGTGTTGTTCGAGGCAGTGAGTGCCCAGCCCTGGCAGGTGTGAGCTGTGCCCCTCTGCAGGCTGCTGCCGAGGATGTGAGGGGCAAGCAGAAGCTGGGACATGTCCCCCCCTCAGGCATACTAATCTTAGAGCTCTACAGGGACTGACATTCCCTTCTGGCCAAACCTCCAGAGCACTACAGGGAAACCAGCAGACCATGGGCAGTTCAGAGCTAGCTCACCCCTCTGGGAACCATAGAATTTTAGGGGTTGGAGTGAACCTCAGAGATCATCTAGTCCCAACTCCTGCCCTGGGCAGGGACACCTCCCACCAGAGCAGGTTGTGAACACTGCCAGGGTTGGGGCAGCCACAGCCTCCCTGGGCAACCTGGGATAGTGTCTCACCAGCCTCACATGGAAAAAGCTTTTTCTTAATATCTAGCCTGAATTTCCCCTCCTTCAATTTGAATCAGTTACCTCTTGTCCTATCACTGCAGTTCCTAACAAAGTCTCTCTCTGGCTTCCCTGTAGCCCCTTCAGACACTGGAAGGTGCTCTGAGGTCTCCACACAACCTTCTCTTCTCCAGGCTGAGCAGCCCCAAGTCCCTCAGCCTGTGCTCATAGGGGAGATGCTCCAGTTCTCTTATCAATCTCACAGCCTTCTCTGGACTTGCTCCAACAGTTCCATAATAAGCCAGGACACCAGAGAGGCTGCCCCAGAGGCTGGGGGTGACACAACCCTGTGACAGCACTCACCATTTCAGCAATATGGTTGTGGAACTGCTGGTTGATGTAGTTGACAGCAGTGCTGAAGACACGCTGCAGAAGGGAAGGTGTTGTATTCACGATCTTCTTAGTCAAGACCATTGCTAGCACCAACATGGCCTTCTCCTGTTCCATGTCTGAGGGAATGGCTTGTACAAGCTTTTTCACTGTGTTTGACATGTGCAGGATTATCTCCTGTATGGAAGGAAGAGAAGGGATCTCAGTGCAGCAGCTGTGGGAGAAAGGGGTCTCAACTAGCAAGTGATGTGCTTGTCCTAGCACTCCACAGGATGCTGCTCCTCTTCCTCCCAGGCATGGCAGCCTGTCTGTTACAAACCCTGAACCACAGGCAGGATGACTATCTCTGAGCTCAGCTGCTCACCCAAGACAAACGAAAGGAAGACAACACCACTGGAAAATTTGGATAGCACCTTACACACTCAGGGTGCAACAGCCCCACCCTCCCCTCCACCCAGCCTGCCAAGCCTCAGAATGGCATAGGAATTCTGGGGCTCCCAGGAAAGGACAGCTCACCTTGAACACAGATCTGGGGGTACAAGCTTAGGTGGGGACTGGCGAGAAGGCAAAGGATGTTTCACAGAAAAGCCTTCACATAAGGAAGAGCTAGCCAAGGTGTCCAAGCCTTGCTCCCAAGAGCAGAGAAAGATAAGTTCTCCCAATGTGCATGTGCACACACTGAGCTATGTTACAGATGTGAAAAAGCAAGGTCAGAAGTTAGGTTTATATCTCAGTCTTATCAGAGACTGAAAGATTAGCCAATACATCTGAAGGCTTTCACAGAAAAGCCTTCACATAAGGAAGAGCTAGCCAAGGTGTCCAAGCCTTGCTCCCAAGAGCAGAGAAAGATAAGTTCTCCCAATGTGCATGTGCACACACTGAGCTATGTTACAGATGTGAAAAAGCAAGGTCAGAAGTTAGGTTTATATCTCAGTCTTATCAGAGACTGAAAGATTAGCCAATACATCTGAAGGCACTTAA